GTCAAGTTTCTGCAGTTGCACAATCTCTGGTCATTTGAAGGCGAATAGGCGAGGTACGTGACTATTGCCCACTGTATGATGTTACGAGAATTAATAGGCTGGATCTTGGTTGAAGGAGCATTTTCGCGTACTTCAGTGCGAAGCAACAATTCGTGAGCCAGGGAGAACTGTGATAGCTTTAGGGGGAGGGGAGGGTGAGGCGAATCACCTGCATGCGTGAACAGCTGGATGTGTGAGTTCCAGCAGAGTTATTCCTTATGTCGTAGCAGTGAGTACGTCCTCACGTACATTTCGCGCCTACCGTAATCAAAATTGATGTGCCCAAAGGCTAGGATTAAACTCGGAACTTTTTATTAAGCCCCACTATCAAGCCTCTAATTTGTAAATCATCGAAGCTCTCAGTAAGGTGTGGTTTGGTCAAGTACAGAGGCGAAGAAAGGATGAAAGAACTACAAAATCGACGCCCTAATTAAGCACACAGAGCGGCATGCAAATTGGGTAAATAAAAAAATCTCAAATCGAAAAAACCACCAAGTGAATGTAACGTAGAGGTGAAAAAAATGTGCACAAACAACTCCAAACAATGTTTTTCTTTGCGTCACGCAACAACATTTCAACACTTTATAGTGTGCTGACTCTCCGCCCTGGGGGTAAAGAGTTGGCAACTGGAGTCCTTTTCACGTACACGGTCCAGAGTTTCTTTATTTCGCCAATCTAACTCGCTGATGAGCTCCGTCTGAAGAAGCAGCGGAACACACCGTTTCATTTATTCCGTTTTTGAAAGTTTTATCTTTTTCGATTAGATCTCGGATCGAATCCCTGCGCAGGACTCTGGATTTCCCAAGCCATCCAAGCCTTCATCCCACCAGGGTCAGTCCAGTGTCCAGAAGCTATCCTTTTCCGTTCTACTATTTATTTCTTGTTCTCATCTACGAGCATAAACGAGTCTTAGTTTTGTCAAGATGGCCGGCGCGATATGACCACCTTCATGCTAGAATTAATGACGTCTCGTTTCTGGAATGGCGTTTGAACTTATGCGAAGGAAAAGTTAAAGGAATCTTCCACGGAAAAAGCTCCGCCCTCATTACCACAGAAAACGATACCTTAAAGGAATCTTCCACGGAAAGAGTGATCATTTTGTCTTGTGTGTAGGATTAGTATTATCGAAACTAACGCTTATGTTCCGTTCTTTTTGCTATGCTCATGAGGCTAGGGGCCTAAGGGGTATCGTTTTTCTGTGGTAATGGAGGCGGAGCTTTTTCCGCGGAAGATTCCTTTAAAGACTGGTTAGGGAAAGAACTGGTCAGGAATTATAGTAGTTAATAGTTAGTAGTAGTAACCGAAATAAGAACTCAATAAACAAAAGACCAAATCAAGGCAAATAAAGGAGCAACGTAACAAAGAACACTAGTTTTTGTAATACCTAACTAACTATTTCGTATATTTCTTAAGTTTTCACGAAGGTTCTTTGAATCTAAAACTCGTTCTACGGCATTGGCCCATAAGATTTTCTTAACTTTTTTTTAGATTTTCTTAACGCAAGGAAATAAGGGCGTTCAAAAAACCGTAATCCAAAAAAGGCAGTGGGTGCGATAGCTAAGAGTCGGAAAATTTTCTATGAACCAAACCCATCAGCGCGCTGAAGGTGTGGCCAGCCCCTGATGTCCTTCCGCTAAAGACGTCCTACGACGTCATCAAAATGGGCCCGCCTCTCAGCCATCGCATCCACTGCCTTTAAGTTAAGACAAAATGTACCTCGCCACATTCGCCGTCGCCATAACAGACAGCGCCTTTCAGGCAAGAACTTCGCTTTTCAGTTGAAGAATCAGTAGCGTTGACTATTTGCGACACCGTCGTTTGAATTCGTGAAGCCAGAAAAGAGACTGTGGATGGTGCAGCCGAAGAAGTTTCTGTGGCGTTTCTCGTCAACAGCGTCGCCGACGTCGTTGGAGGCTCCGAAGTTAAAGG